TGTGATGTCAAACGCTGAAGACATTTGCATTGTGAAAGACTTATTAAAGTAGCGAATGCTGCTACTAAGGTTTGTTTGGATCAGGCCAAGATCAACAACTTTTTGCAGAAGGGTTAGAAGTGATTTACTCTGAAGTCATAATGTTATGAGTTATTTTCACTCAAAGGCAGTTTTAAGTTTTTTATTTCACTATAGGGCAGTTAGTGCTCCTGAGGTAGTTTTTTAAAACCACAAGCTAACTATAGAGCAACTATGTGCATTCTCGTCTTAAACTAAATGAGTTTTACAATTTTTTATTTTATTCTTTACTCTTTCTTTATAATATTTGAAACAATCTTTCTCTCTCTCTTACAATAATTTTAATGGTTAAAAAGGATGAAAAAATGGAGAGCTCGTCACTTCAGCTTCAGCCCAGATCTGTGTAAAAGTTTATCATTTTCTCATACTTCTCTGAATCTCATATTTGTCGTAATCTGTTTTGTCATCTTCTCCCACACATTGATTCATCTCGTCATCTTTTTCTTTTCGTTTTTACAACAATCCTCGTGTGGTTACTTCATCACTCTTACCGTCACGACACTGTAAAATCTCGAGAGCATCAATGGCTACTTTTGAGTTTTTTATACTTTTAGTCCTTAATATTTTGTATAATTTCGGTTTTGAACCAAAACTTATTAGTTGTGCATTTTGGTCCTTAACGTTTTCCAATGTTTCTTTGATTTATTTTAAATAAACCAATTATGTATTACAACCCTCTGTTAATGACATTAAGCAATATAAACACATAATTAAATGCATTAGAAAATAAATTAAATGAACTAAAATCGAAGCTAAAGATCAAAATCATGTGTACACCTCTTGTTATGTACAAAATCAATTTTATCCGTTTAAGCTCAAAACTGACTAGTTAGGTACTACAACTCTCTGTTAATGAAATTGGACAATATATGCACATAATTAATTCTTAAATGCAGTGGAAAATAAATTAAATGAACTAAAAAAAGCTAAAAATCATTAGATATGAATAAAATACAAAAGCATGTATACACCTATTGTCATGTACACCATTTTCAGTTTGATTTGATCTATTTAATATGTATTTTGATATTATTTTAGTAAGTAACCACCAATCCACCTATATGTGTACAATTTCTTTATATATATTGGTCCATTGTCGATGTACACGTGTACACGTTCCAAAGTGTACACAAAATAACAATATATGCACATAATTAATTCTTAAATACAGTGGAAAATAAATTAAATGAACTAAAAAAAGCTAAAAAATCATTGGATATGAATAAAATACAAAATCATGTATACACCTATTATCATGTACACCATTTTCAGTTTGACTTGATCTATTTATTATATATATATTATAATATTATTTTAGTAAGTAACCACCAATCCACTTATATATGTACAATTTCTTTACATATATTGGTCAATTGTCGATGTACACGTGTACACATTCCAGAGTGTACACAAAATAACAATATATGCACATAATTAATTCTTAAATGCAGTGGATAATAAATTAAATGAACTAAGAAAGCTAAAAATCATTAGATATGAATAAAATACAAAATCATGTATACACCTATTGTCATGTACACCATTTTCAGTTTGACTTGATCTATTTATTATGTATTTTGATATTATTTTAGTAAGTAACCACCAATATCCACCTAAATGTGTACAATTTCCTTACAAATATTGGTCTATGGTCGATGTACACGTGTACACATTCCAATGTGTACACAAAATAACAATATATGCACATAATTAATTCTTAAATGCAATGGAAAATAAATTAAATGAGCTAAAAAAAGCTAAAAATCATTAGATATGAATAAAATACAATATATGTATACACCTATTCTCATGTACACCATTTTTAGTTTGAATTGATCTATTTATTATGTATTTTGATATTATTTTAGTAAGTAACCACCAATCAACCTATATGGGTACAATTTCCTTACATATATTGGTCCATTGTCGATGTACACGTGTACACATTCCAAAGTGTACACAAAATAACCTGTCTATTTTTCTTAAACTTATAATTTGTTCAAGTTTCTACACGTGTACACGTCACAGAGTGTACACGCATGTCGTTTATTATTCTTGCTCAAAAACAAAAACTAGTCTTACATGTGGTGTGTTAGCATCGGTATATACGTGGACAATGTTATACTAGTGAATCATTGTACATGATAGTAAAATTCTTATGTACACATAGACATTATATGGTTGTACACATTTTGAAACTAGCAAAACATTCCAATTAGATAGTGTGATATTATGGTAACGTGTACACATATTTCTACTATCTTACTTCTAAGTCAAAGTATACGTCTTGAAATTTGTTGATTCATATGAGTAATGTTATGCTCTAGTAAGAAGAATATATTGCTAGTTTATTTTAATCATTTTAAGTAACATTTTAAGTGATTTTATGATTTTAGTCATTTTGAATGTCCTTTTTTAGTTTATTTTAATAATTTTAAGTAACATTTTAAGTGTATATATTGTATTTGTGTATTTAATTTAATGATTTTGAATATCTTATGTTAGGACACATCCTCACTTCTGAAGAGTATTGAGGTTAAAATTGAATGATATAAAAGTTAAGGGACTGAATATGCAAAAATGTCAAAGTTAACCATTGTTGTTTTTGAGCTTTTTATGATGGTTGAAGGGTTCGTCAGAGAAAACAGAGGTCACAACAACGATTAATCACGACAAAGACAAGGAATTGGAACACAACACGAAGGATTGAGTCGAGTGAAAACGCGGACGGACCGGATTTGTTGTGTGATGTCACGATGAAGATGAACACGGCGGCCTACAGATCGAGCTTGTCCGAGGCTCGCCGGTGGTTTCGGAGCAATAACAAAGCATAACGACATGAGAAAACAGAGACACCATGGTTTAAGCTTGAAATAATCTCCGCCGTTAACATCCTGGTAGATTGCCATGAAAGATGTATCTTCACATATCTCAAAATAAAAATTAAATGATATATATAATGATTAATTACAAGATTTCGTGAACAAAATTTTGAAGAAACAAATTTGATTTTTCAAAAAAAGTGAACAAGAGAAGAAAAAGACGAAGAATAATATTAAATGGGGTCTATTTTGTTTTAGTTTGTTAAGGTTAATTGAAAGGTAACTATCTGGTTCAGGGAAAGAGGAATAAAAGAGAAATAGTTAGAATAAACTGTCTTGGTAGCATAAACTGCTCTTTTATGTAATAAAAAATTTAAAACTGCCTTTGGGTGTAATTGTTTCTAATGTTATTTGGTATGGCATGTTTTGCTTAATATAAAAGAATAGAGAAATGAACAAAGTAAAGAAATAGTCAAGTAGTTCATGCTTTTATTTCAGATTCTTTCATACTAACAGTTTACTTGAAGATTATCTATGTCCACATGTTTAAGGTCTTGTCTTCAAGAGAATTATTCATGTGGTAATGCCAACCCAATTCTTAAATGCATCAAGAAACTCAATCTTCTTCACTTTCCTCTTCCTCAATTTCGGCAATCTCAGATTCTTCAGAGTCTCCATAAACACTGCCTTGTACCTCCACTTATCCACAAATATCTTCATCTCCTTACACTTCTCAACCACTTGCATCGCTGTCCCAAAGAACCCTCCTCTAACCAACGCATTCAAAAACGCATCCGCAAGAGCATGGTCCAGTTTTGCTTTCTTCCCCTCTTTGAACTCTTTCCACAACACCACAACTTCAAAGTACCTTCCACAGCTCACATAACCATTGATCAATGACAAGTATGTCTGGTGGTTTGGCTCGTACTGAAGAAACACCATCCTTCTAAACGTCCTCTTTGCATCTTCTAGACGTCTTGATTTACAGAAGGCGTGAATAATCGAGTTCCAATCATGTGACTTCACTTCCACATCTTCTAGAACTTCTTCCACAAATGATGCCATTAACTCTGGTCTTTGATTCTCAAGGAGACCTGTCATGATTGTTAAGTAGCTCCCTTTCAAATCAGTTACTACTCTTGTTTCTCTCATGTCCCTAAACAATGTAAGGGCAGATACAAAGTCCTGTTTTGTCATGGAAGCTTCGATCAAAGCTTTATAAGTCTCAGCATCAAGCTGAACTCCAGAGCTGCTGATCTCTTTAACCAGCTGAGTAGCTTCAGATGTTCTGTTCTCCTTGCAATAAGCTTTCAAGATAGGTACATACACACCAATCCCACCAGATCCTCCCTGAGCATTCATCTCATCAAGTATACTCTTACCTGAGAATCCAAGATTCACACAAGCGTTTATAACTCCAAACCCAACTGATCTCTCAATCTCAACAGACTCAGACTCCAATCTCTGAGCTTCAATTATCAATGTTGCTAAACTCTTCACCTTTTTACTCTCAATAAACCCTTTCACAATCTCACAATACGTTTCCTCACTAAAACCACAACCTCCTCTAAGAACAACATCATACACACTATCCAAATCACCACTCTTAACATAACCACTAATCAAACTCGAATAAAGAACTCTCTTACTACCATCCACCAAACTCTCAACCTCCTTTACCTTCTCCTTAACCCCCCTTCTAGCATACAAATAGCCAAGAAACCCAAAGCTACACTCATCAGGCTTCACACCCATCAAATCCATCAACTCAATCACACTCTCAGCATCCGTTAAAGACTCAATCTCCCTACAACACGCTTCAAGAGCAGCGTTACACGCGTCCAAACCAGGTTTCATGTAATCAAGCCTCTCATCTACCGCAAGTCCACAACTTTCCTTAAACACTATAAGAAACGAAGCTAAGTTCCCACTTTCACGGCAGGTATCGATAACCAAACCTCCCCAGAGATCAAAGGGGACAAAGACTCTGTTTTTAAACATGCATTTGACTAAGGCCAAAGCAGGGGAAGGAGCTTTAGCGAGTTTCATGGATCGGAAGAGAGTGAGGAGAGTGTTGGGTTCGAGAAAGGTTGGATCTTTCTCGATGACGTAAGCAGCGGAGACGAAGGCGCGTTTGAGTTTGTGCGGTGTGGTGGTCTCTGAGGATAATTGGGTGATGAGGGAGTTGAGGAGAGGCTTGTTTGGGAGAGAGGAGGAGGCGGCGAAGGAGCGGAAGAGCTTCCATGCTTGGTCTGTGTTGTGGGTTGTTAGGGAGGAGTGGAGAGAGGATTCAAAGGAGGAAACTTGGAGATGGGTTAGGGTTTTAGAAGGCAGTGGGGAGATGGCAAAGGAGGAAGAAGAGAAGGGTCTTCTTCGTGGGAGTAAAGTTAGAGTTTTTCTCAACATTCAGAGACGAAGAGAGGAGAAAGGTATCGTCTTCGTCTCTTTGGAGCTGGGGTTTAGGGTTTTGAGGAGGAAATTGCAGAGGGAAAAGAAGAGGCGAAACAAGAATCTTGTCTCCGGCTGGAAATTGTGTAAACATGATTTGAAATTAGTGAAATGATTATTCTTTTTTTTTTTTGGTCAGAAGGAAATGATTTTTTTTTGATTAAACTTAATTATGTTATAAAATTGATAAGCGAGTATTATGTTTTATTATATTCAAATATATATTTTTTTTTGTTATACATGTATACTATTATTTTTATAATTTTTTTTTTAAAATACTGGTAAACAACAAATAAGCAAAATAAAATAATCGAGAATATTAATAAAATAACTCGACACACTAAATAATGTTTTATTTAAATTAGCTATAATATTGTATATTTTTATTGAAATATGTATTATTATATTTTTCTAGAAACAAATATTATTATAGTCAAATACATATTATTGTATTACATATACATGTTTATAATTTGAAAAAGCATCAAGCAAAAATAAAAATCATCAATAAGAAAATTGAACATACTAATTTAAATCCGTTGAATTTTTTTTTTTTTATAATGCAAAGCTGTAGCTTAGAATTAAGACAATTTCCTATTATTTTTTCAAGTTGTTTTTTCCTTTTCCTTTGTACAGATGTTAATAAATGTTTTAATAAAAACAAATATTATAATAGATGTTTTATTTAAATTAACTATGATCTTGTATATTGTTATTAAAATATGTCTTATTATATTGTTCTAGCAAAATATTATTATAATCAAATACATGTTTTAAATTTTATAATTTGAAAAATATTATCCAGCAAAATAAAAGATCATCAATAAGAAAATTGAACATACTAAATAGGTTGAAAATAAATATTTTTATAATGCAAAGCACTAGCTTAGAATTAAGACAATTTCCTATTACTTTTTCAAGTTGTTTTTTCCTTTTCCTTTGTTAAGAAGGCATAATATCCTTTTTCCTACATTTTTTTGCATTATGTAATTTCCTTTTTTTTGCGTGACAGATACGATGCTCTTTTGGAAATTTACATTGTTCAACTTAAGAGAGTTCTATAAATACGGAGAAGATGAAGCTTACAAAGAAACGAAAGCATAAAATCAGAACGAGATTAAGTTTCCTCTCTCTCTCTCTTTATTTTTCCTGTGATTTTGTTTAGAAGAAGAAGCTAAGAGAAAGAGACGACATGGGAGACCAAAACAACGTTCGTATGATGCTTCCCATGAGTGTTCGATGCAATAGCTGCGGAAACAATATCTACAGGGGAACCCAATTCCATTCGCGTAAAGAAGACGTCATCGGCGAGGTAACCTAATATGACTATTGCTTTCTTGAAAATGATTTGAATTCTTTTTACTAACCAAATAGTTTCTTGTTATTTTTCTATGTGCAGACATATTTTGGGATTCAAATATTTAGATTCTACTTCAGGTGCAACAATTGCAATGCAGAGATGACAATGAAGACTGATCCAAAAAATTTAGATTATATTGCAGAATCTGGAGCAACTTTTTGGAATTGAGACATACTTACTCTTTTTTTTTTTGTTTTTTTTCATGCATGAAATTTATTTACAATTTTACGCTACGTTTATGTGATAATGCACAAGTTTAATAGAGTCCTGACACGATGGAAACACCAAATTTACTCTATACGTCGCCTTGTTTTTGTTTGGTCAACCACGCTCTCCAGGTTCTTTAAGATACATGGATTTATATATGGTTTTACTTCTTTTTGTACATAACTATCTCCAGGTTTTAGCTTTTAAGAGCGAAATTGCGAATCTTTATATATATATTAAAGAAGTAAGTGGTGGTACGTTGATATAAAAAAGGACAGGACTTGAGTTGCTACCACTGGGAGGTGGCCGGAGAATCTGTCCTGCGATATACATAGGAACAACAATGGTGGAGTGTGTTCTTGCAAATATGTTGTATAGTTTTGATTGGGAGTTACCAGAAGGCATGGTGGTTGAAGATCTTGACTGACTCTACATGGAGTGGTGAGAGTCACAGAGAAACTGACTCTACATGGAGTGGCTGCCACAAGAAATCCTAGTTAGGATTTCACACTTTATTAAACAATAAAGATGAGATGATAAGGTTATATGAAATGGGTTTACCTTGATCATCAAAGGAGCAAAATAGCCTCAGTAGTCGTAAGAGAGATAACGGTTACTACTGACTTAAAGGTGAAGTAGCTGCTGTGAAAGAAGTCATGAAATCCAAGTTAGGATTTAAAAAAAGTTTCTAGGAGAAAAATTAAAAACAGAAGCATAGGAGAGGAGATGATACAGGTCAAAGAAGGTTTACATGAGATAGAAGATCAGAGGTTTGATGTTTACACATTCTCATAAGTATTTATTCAAACCCAAGTTAAAGAACTGGCTTCTGCTTCACGTTAATAATGTTGGTGGAGATATCTATTACAATATGGAAAAAGAATTAAACCCATATGGTATTAGGAAAGTCCTCAACTATAAACAGAGATGTCCTTGATGACTTTAGGGCATCCAAAGAAGAAGAGAACAAAAGGGATAAAGAGAGATCAAGAGATTAGCAATTAAGAGTGTTTCTTCTAGGTTATCTTGTGATCTTTATATTTTTCTTAGGAAATTCTATATTTATAGTGAAAGTTGTGGGATACGGATCCCTCCCAAAAGATATTAAACGAGAACTCAGTTATCAAATTACTTGTCTCTTTTCTTATTCGCGATATCCTAAATCAAAATTCGTATTAAACACTTAAGTGGGATTAAAATTCTAACATTAATATATAAATGATTATTATGTGACGAAATGCTTCCAACTCTTATCTTAAAATGAAATAAAAATATTTTTTCCCAAGATACATAAATAACAATATACATATATTTTTGTAATACAATATACATTTTAAATACAATTTATGTCATAAATATAATAATAATCTAAAACATCAAAAAAATTATATAATTATTTAAAATATACGTTCATTTATTAGTCAATTATTATGATCACATTTAAAACACCAAACATAAATTTAATTTGCAAAAACAGAAATCAGTTGTTTCTCTCTTTTTTTCTCTGATTCATCTCGAGAGAGAAACTTAACATCGAAAATTCAAGAAAGATGGAGACGAATCTTCAGCACCTCTTGCAATGTCTTCTCGACACACTCTTTCCAGACTCAGATCTTCGTCGAGCAGCTGAGACAAATCTATTGGATGCATTCGGTATGCATGGCTAGTACCTAACTGTTCTCCGGGTGGTAGGTGGATCCTCAGATGATCAGACCCGTCACATCGCTTTTGTTTCCTTCAAGAGCCATCTCCGTTCATGGTGGCTCTCTGACGACGGTATCGCGCCGTTTGCAGATTCGGAGAAAGAGCAAATCAAGACTTGCATAGTCTCCCTTATGGAGTCTTCTCCTTCTCTATATCTTCACATCAAAAGCCAATTGAGTGAAGCCATGATTGTCATTGGTCAGAAAGATTACCTAAAATCTTGGTGTACCTTTCTTCCTAGCCTTATCTCCCAACTTGAGGTATGCATCTATGAATGATATCCTTGGGACAGTTAAATTCGATTTGTGAAAAGTTTAGGCACAAGTATATGACCGATGATCAGTTGTTTAATTTGAAGTATTGCCATGATACTTTTTTTGAATTGCTTGTAGACATGTTTTGATTCACTGCTTCATCTTTTCAAATGGCTGGGACCTCTTCTTACATAGTGGTAAACTTCTTAAGTCTTTCATTGATAACCAAAAGTTGTGCTGCTGCATATTTTCTTCACTCAGCTTTCACGTTCTGCCAGAGTATTTCGAGTGCCAGAGTATTTCGAGAGTTGTATGGAATCTCTGATGTTTTAACTTTCTAGGTACTTGTTACATTTTATCATTCCATAACTCACTACTATAAGATTTGTCATAGTCTCCTAGCAAGAATGAACTTGCTACTGCTATTGTTAAGTTTCTTACTATCATAACCACTTGTAGTCATCATGTTATGTTTGGGGACAACAGTGTAATCAAGAAATTTTTCCTAGATGTTTTGATTCCCAATGTTTTCTGAGGATTGAAGATGAAGAAGTTTTTGAAATGAACTACATAGAGTTTATTCGTATAAGATACATGGTGCAAGGCTTGTGCGTTTGCTTCAGGTTGTGTTGCCTATTGCATGTGAGGAGTTCAGTCTTGAGTTGGCACATGCATTGAGGATATCAGAAAACTGGCCTCATCTTCAGGGACAGAGAAGTAAGGCTTTGATCTTCTTCACATTGTGTTTAAAGAGCTCAAGCCTAATACAATGGACATGGAGCAAGTGCAAGTGTTATTTGGATTGTATCAAACTAACAAGACAATCAAGTTTCAGAAAGCTATGCTATTTCTCTTTGGTGGTTAAGCGACAATCTTATCTGAAGAGAGCATCAATGCACTTCAGCCAAACTTGTTCATTGACGTCTTGGATGCTATATGGATTCCGAGCCTGAAATCCATCATTGATTGGAGAGCCATGAGATTAAGTTGGCAGTTGTTACAACAAATACTGTGATATTTGACTTGTGGGGATGCTTGACATTATAATTCTTGTGCAACTCTTTATCTGAAAGCAGTCGTGAATAAATGGTGTTTAAAACTTATCGTATACATTTACCAACAATAGAATCATCTTTTACTATATTTGATATTTATTCCTCCTGAGATTGTTCTTATTCTATGTGTCTACTACCTGCAAATATTGGTAAATTATAAATATTCGCGACATTTTATCAATCATCTCTCTCTAATGGTTATGTGAGTTGCATGCTTGAGTTGCAGACTCTTTTAACTTACAAACAGTAAAACAAGAACAGGAGCTGCTTGTGCCATTTCCCAATGTTCTCGTAAGAAGGCTTTGAATTCTATGACCATTTCTATCTGGAACTCGAGTCTCTAGTAACTTTAACTTTGTAAAACAATATACTAGGCAGGGAAGATACACCACAAATACTGAGTACAATGCACACACGAGTTAAAAATTGTCTGAATATTTAGAATGAAGGAAACCTCTGAAACAATGTGTTGCAGCGAAGACTATTAATGGGGAATAAGCGTTACATTGTAGAGATACTGGCCTTTGATGGTTGCGGCATTAGTAGTAGCTTGAGTTTTTTTTGTCTACCACCTTATGTTTTTGTCTGCATGTTTCTGTTGCTCTCTCTATTAGTCTGAGATCAGCCACGGCAAGATTTTTGCTCAGAACTTGAACCCCAGGACGGAGATCTCATCCACCTTTTCAAGTAAACATGTCCATCTAGATCAGAGGCGTTATCAAAACTTTAATATAACTCTCCTGAAGCCCTGGCCATTTTACCTCCTGTTGTGAGACACACGATGTTACCATAGGCTACTTGTAAAATATAAGCAGAACAAAAATCAGGAACCGAGAACATACTGGAAGCAAAGTGAGACAAGTCTTACTTGTTCCTCTACTCTATATTATGCATCAGATACGTGATGCAGCGCATCCTTTTCAACGTAAGCACAACTGAATCTCCTTCTTCTAAGCTAGCTATGTTGGCACAGGCACTAATCGCTTGTCCCAGAGTATAATGATCTGGTTGAACTCCACTTCTTTCCATCTCAACGAGCATTTTAACAGCTTCTTCAGCACGACCGGTCTGGCCATATCCCACAACCATTGCTGTCCAAGACACAACATTCTTCTGCTTCATCCTATCAAAAACAGTCTTCGCGTAGTCTATACACTTACACAGTTACACTTACAAAGTTACAATACATGTCAATAAGAGCACTTCCCACATACATGTTATCCTGAAAATTAGTCCTGATTATACACGCATGAACTTTTCTCCCTTCGTTTATTGCTCCTAATCCTCCACAAGCAGGTAATACACTTCCAAATGTAAACTGATCCATCTTCAAGCCTTCCTCTTTCATCTCTCAGAAAAACTCAATAACCTCATTCCACAGTCCGTTCTGAGCAAGCCCTTTAATCATAGCCGTCCAAGAAACTGAATCTTTCTCCATTCCTTGAAACAGCTTTTTTGCATCTTTGATCATTCCACTCGCTAGAAGCCTCCCATCAGTGAGTTGTACATAACCGTGTTCCTATCCTCTACACTGTAAAAAACCAACTTTTGCATACATATCCATCAACGCACTACCAAGTAAAAGATAAGACTCAAACCCATGCGGCTTTAGATGGCGGCTTTGGTTTCTACCTCCATGCTCAATGCATTGCTTTATCTGAGCAGAGTACGTAGTAGCTCGAAGCCATTGTCCACTCAGTTGAATAACTTGAATTGAATGTTTAAACTATCGTATTTTCATATTCAATATAAGAAAACTTATTGATGACATCAAATAATTTTTTCTATTTTTATTAAATTACATAAATATAATAAATCGTATCTTTTAGTAATTCTAACTAGGTGATTTTCCCGTGCTCATGCACGGACATAAATATTTATAAAATAAATATATTATAATAATTTATTGATATTTACTTTAAAATTTAAATTAATTTAGAATTTGTAGGTATAATTTATATTAATCATATTATATTAATTTAATTATATGTATAATTTTAGATATGTTATATTTTGTCAATTTGATTGTTTTTACGGTTGATTTAGTTATCATTTGGATATATTAGATTGTATCTATTTCTTTGAATTCAACTACAATCTTTTTTATCCTAATTATATTAAATTTTTGATTAATTGTCTTATTTGCATTTATGCCGGTTGTTATCTTAGAAATATAAGTATATCTAGTAAGATTATGTATAACTTAAGATTTTTTGTGTTTAGAAAAAACTAACTGTCTGATTCTAAATTACATACATAAGTAACTAATAGATTTTTGGAAGCTTATGATACATTTTTGGAAGCTTATGATTATTTTAAATAATTTTTAAAATAAGGATTCCGATTTGCTTAAGTATTTTGATTATGGTTATATTAAGTTTCAAAAACATAAAACAGAAATTAAAAATCAAAAGAATTATTAGAAAAACATATAATTTTAACAATTAAAATATATTATATCTACTTCGTTAAATTATATAGTGTTATAATATTTTTAAAAAAATTGTAGTTATTTTATCAAAAAAAAATTATTATCAAAATTTATTTCAGTTTTGTTTTTAATATCTGTTAAAATATGCAGTAAAAAATTTATTTTTTTGAGAAATTATATTATATAAGTAAAATAGAATTTATATGTTTTGTTGTATTGTGAGATATTATATTCAAATAAATATACTAAAAAAATAAAAAATATATATATATTTCAAAAATACAAATTATAAAAAAAATTAAATTAAACATATATCAGTTTATGTTACTTAATTATTTTATGTAATCATCTAATAAAATAGATAGATATATTATATATATATTATTGTTTAAAATTATTTTTTTTAAACAAAAAATATTTCCTTTTCTAGTATCAAGATTAGTTGTGTGAAATTTTTTTTATGGAATCACATTATATACAAATATTGTTTTTCATCTAAGAAGATATAGAGATGAAGTATTTTATTACTTCAAAAGTATATTTTATGTTATTTAAAATATATTTAAATTAAATATTACTATTTTGAGAACTTTCCTTTTTTATGAAACCATATTTTTATATACTTATATTTTCGTTTTAAATGGTTTTGTAAACTTTATAAATGTTTCCTTTTTATTTTATATCGTTATTTGGAAAATTTTGAAAAGGAAATAATAATATTTAAATGTATTTTTTTAATTCAATAGGGATATCATAGTAATCAACCATCGTGAAAATTAACGTGAGCGCGACAAATAAGAAAGTGACTTCTCAAATAATATTATAGAGATTGACCTGATGGAAAAAATGAACCATAATTTAAACAATGGAAAAATAGAATTCCAAAGTACAATTTCTCTTTATAAAAACATATGCAAATGTATATATGCACTCTACAAGACTATGATTGTGTTATCTACCATCACACACTACGTTAGCAAGAGATGTAATTTACATGTCCATCTTTCTCCTACAGCAAGCCTGATTTGAGTTCTGCCAAATCCATAATCACATAAGGAATTTACCAAAAAAATTGATTTAGACCAATTTTAAATTAGTTTTATAAATTTGAAAAAAGAGAAACTCTATTATAAAAAAGGGTAGTTTTACTTCAATCTTTTTTTTATAATAAAAACTTCACTGGCATTATAATAAAAAAATTTATTACTGAAAGGACGTATAGAGAAAGGTTGGAAATACAGATTTGATTAAATTTTTTTATTTATCCTATAATTTTGAAACATAAAATATCTGGCTACTGCAGCAGTACAGACTGTACAGTATTCATCTGAAATGCAGCACTACACTATTCATCTGAAATACAAATCATGACTTTTTTTTTTTGATAACACAAATCATGACGTTAATCTATCATTTTTTTCACATTGTCCTCAACAATTTATTTCGCAAATTTGAGAAATGAGTTAACACTTTCAGGCATTTCTCCAAGGAATCCACATTACAAAGCAAAATAAGAAGGTTATGTAACTTATATAAAACTGTTCTCAATCGTTGGTGTTTTTACTCTTAAATGCTTAGTAGTGGTACTAGTAGTTTCGTATTCGTTAATTGTAACATCATTATAATACAGAACACCAAGTGAACTAAAAAAAAAAGATTACAAGAATTTAATATTCTATCTAACAAGAAGAAAATCTCATGGTTCAACCTTCATGTTTGATGATGGAAGAGATACTGTAACAAAAAAACAACAAGAAAAGATAGTTTTTAGTAAAACAAAATATTTACTTTATGGTGAAAAAAGTAAAAGAGGCTTCAGTTATTAAACCTGTAGCTGCTACTGCTGCTGCATCAGGGTCAGATGGGACATCACCAGCTCCATAGTTAATGTGTATCACATTTTGCAGATCACTTTCCCATCCATTTGTTTCCTATCAATCACCAAATACATAATCAGATTATGATCTCGGATTAGTTCACTAGCCGTTTATTACAATACCTGTCGCTTGTATCCACCACTCATGGGAGACAACGGAGAGCTAATGTTCCTTCCCATGCTTGAAAGGGTCTGTTGCATGAATCCATGTGGTAGAGGAGGATAAACCATCGACATGTTTTGCGGAAAGGGTGTTGCAGATGAAGAACCACCTCGTAGTTGAAGCTCTCTTACATCTTTTGCAAGAAGAGCTTCAAGATTAAAGTCCATTTGTGGGTTCACAGTTGCAAGCTTCATCGATAAGAACTGTTTAAAACCAAAAGAGAAACAAATAGATTACAACAAGAGACACATACATAGTTGAGAATAAGGAGATTTTGTTACCTCAACTTGGCGTTGTAGAGACTGCACATAGTTTATGATTTCGTCAAGCATAACTGCTTTTCCAGTAACCTGTAAAACTCAAAACAAACATTCATCTCTGTGTTAGCTTTTTTTTTTTTCCTCTTCTTACACATCAATATTCAATAGCATATCTAAAAAGACTTTATACCTTGTTGCAACCAGGTACAAGATCTTGTAGAAACTTCATCCTTTCACTGATTTTTTCTCTCCTCACCTATCATCACAAACAAGTAATTAGATCATAACAACCAGAAGAGACTGCTTATATTCAACTTCAAAGATGGTTTTAGAAACTATACTCTTTCTGCAAGACTGTGACTATTTGTAGCCTGGCCTCTACGTGCCCGGACATGAATGTATCCATCTTTAGGATCAGATACTTGTTTGCCCTGTTGTTTCCCACTGTTTGTTTTGTTGCCAGGCGAGTTTGGACTTTGCTCATCATTCCGCTTCTTATCACCATTGTTCTCTGCTTCTTCCTCAGGTTTCTGTGATTGATCTGCTTCAGAACTCTACAAAAACAGAAATAATTACCAAACTGTTAACTACAATGCCACAGAGAACCAAAAGTGTATAAACTTCAAATCTTCACCTGTCTATTTCTTTTCCTCTTCTTTGAATCAAACCCTTTAGAAGATGTTTCCCCACCTTTCTGACCACTAGACTCAGTATCCTCAGATACATTTGGTTTACTAACTTGTTCACTAGTTCTAACATTCGCCTCTTTCATTGCTGTAGATGCAACATTTACTTCACTACTTGGACACTGCCCTTGAAGAAACAAACCAATAGACTCCGGATTCCCAACTGGTTGTTGATTCACCATATCACTAAATAACGAAAACCTCGCTGCACGCTCTATAAACCCTGAATCAGCCGGAAACTGAGCCATACTCGGAGGCAGGAAGCTACTCGCATTCGGCAAGAAAAGACCATTCCCTTTAGGAGGCAACAGATTAGTCAGACTCCAACCCATTTCAAGAGATCTATCTAAATTTCCCCTAAAGCAAGAAGACGAAGAAGAGGCGTTACCACCATTGAAACCTCCATAACCCACAGCTTGAAGATTAGTGGGATCATACCAAAGAGCTTGCCCAAATGAATCCATCATCTGAGGTTGAGAACAAGACGCTGAGATCAGATTCTCAGTAGGATATGAACTCATGGGCGCAGAGACATGGTTAGAGCCAGAGATTTGCCAATCTGGAGGATGATTATTAGTAGAATCATAATTAGTATTCCTCTTCTCTCCTGAAAACTCTTCTTTCTCACTTGTATCCATCTCTAAACTTGATGAACAGTACTTTCAAGGATCAAAACCACTACAGACCAATAACACTTCCCACACAAACACAAACACTTTCGTCTTTGGAGATGCAGAGAAGGAACAGTCCACCTTGTAAGAACAAGAGCAAAGCCTAATCAATAGAAGCAAAAGTCTCGGACTTTATAGTACAGAACACACATATACCTTAAAGACAGGACCAAACTTAAGGAAGCTTAGAGAGACCAGTCAACGGAACAGAAAGGATCATGCTTTTTTTTTCCGTACGAACCCCAAAAAGAACACAGCTTTGACAAACCCTAGACCAGATTTAAAGGAGGTAATGAAGTTAAAAGAGTGAGGAGAAAGATACCCATTTTCAGAAAGCTTCAAACTTTAAGCTCAATTTCTCACCAGAAGCTTTACAAAAATGGGTCCTTTGGTCAGATAACAAAACCCTTTTTCTCTGTTCTTCAGCTGCAGAGAGAGAGAGAGAGAGAGAGAGAGAGAGAGCAAAAGAGTGGCTTTTTAGAAGAAAGGAACTGAAGAAGAAAGGGTTTAGGATTTAGACCCACGCTTGCATAAAAATAAGAGCTTTTTGATCATTAAACATGAACACCGCCATTGCTAAAGAGTATCCAAGCATTATAACTTTGCAGAGTTTAGTTTATTTTTCTTTTTGTTAAAAAGCTGGTTAGTGGTTAGTAAATTTAAAATGATTTAAACTGGACTGATACAATTAAAAAATAAATATGGTTTAGCGCGTAATTATTCCAATTATGCAATCAGCTGACAGTGACAACTTTCATTTTGGGACTATATTCTTCTTTCTTTTATTTTAAAAAAATCCTGAAAAACAGGCTTTCATGATTTCTTTTCTTGTTTTCATAATTCATAAATTTAAGTTTCACTGGTAAAATCCGTTCAAGATGTATATTATAGGAAAAAAATTTGTTCAAAAATATGTATTTTTTAACTTTTCAATGAATGATTTAATGAAAAATTGTAAGTTTCAAAAAAATTAATGGTGTTTATTGAGTTTCTATTGGTTAAAAGCTATGGAAAATTGTTATTCACAAAAAACAATGCATTTACAATCAAAATTAAATGAGTTTTCTTAATATATGTGAAAAATCTAGAACATGGATTATTTAGGAACATAGGAAGTATTTCCTAAACTTCATCTAACCTAAGATCATCATTAAGCTCCATCTTTTAATTGTGATTTTGAGCTTGGATAAAAAACAGTTCTTAGATTTTAAGTAAGAAAAACTAAAAATCATCTCTTAAATAAGAGATATAAGAATCATCTCTTATCTGAAAATGTTAAAAAAAAAAAATCAAAATATGAGTTAAGAACTCCAATTAAAAAACCGAAGTTAATGATGCTCTGAACCTACTTTATAAAACTACCATATTCTATCTTTGTATTTCACATTATCATATACGAACAATTATTATTAATTCATTTTTATAGTAGATTTTAGTCTATTGAGAAAGATGTTTAAATGCAAAATAGAAATCTTAAGAATTATTAAATTCTGGAATATTAAATTAAATTTTTTTGTTAGTTTCAAAATTATAAAAAATATTATAATATACAGAGAAAATTTGAATAAAATACATAATAATACCACTCTCTTCCTAATAAACATATATGGCCCTATAGTTACTATTATCATGAGCTTAATGTTTGACATACTTATTTTTGTGTCAGACATGTGCAGTCTCAATGTTGAATAAGTTCAAGTTTTCATATTAAAATATTTTTCTGTGTATATAAAAAATATAGTTTAAATTTTTCTATTGTCCAGTGTTTATATATATATATGGCATAATGCTTGCGAATAATCATAACAATTATTGGTTTCATGTTCAATGTTTTGGATTTTGTACCGAATCATACGTAATTCTTAAACAAATGAGTTTTATTTTCATGCACGGTTTGTTGCAGATTTATGTAGAATAAAATATATATTTTTTTGTGTCTTTTGACCGCTTGCTTTCGCTAAAGAATAATTCTGCAGCTCAAGTCTGTCTAGTTGTAATTTGTAAACCATACTGCTAAGACTTTATACTAAAAGATTGATATCAATTATAATAATATATCGATAAGAGAAGAATATTTCAATATTGGACATATTGTTAGATCTTTTTTACTGTTGCTTAGAATACGATTAATTAGATAATCACTTGTTACATTATGTCAGGCTTAGGCAACTTGAGACCCTTTATTCAAATGAAAACGATTCTTACGAACGATCTTGGTTAGTCAAATAGTCTATGAGAACTTTGTGATAGATAGAGGTCTTTAGACCATCTCCAATAATTCAGTTATTTTTTTAAAAAATAGATTAATTCTATAATAAAGTTGCATCTTACTTCGATGGTATTCTATGTTGTGAAAAATATATGGATGAAAAAAAAATGATTCTATTTATAGAGTAAATACATCTTTTACTATATTATAAAGCAAAAACATAATATCAATTAACATTTTTATTTTAAACTCTATTTTAAAATGAAAAATAACCACACTAGCCAAACTAGCCTTGGCTAGATGTATCAGTCAGAGAGGGGGAGCTGCTATAGCTTTGCATTGGCTCATATGAAGTCATACGACTCATATCCAACGAAGACTGGAGAAATTCTGAGACACTTTTTACCCGTTAATTATCTTATTTCATTTTCGATCGGGTTTTAAGTCTCACAATAACCTATATTTATGTTTGTGAACGACTCATGTATTATTCTATGGTGTTGTGCCTGATAAAACACGTGGAGTGAGTTTTAGGTTTCGTTAACGGATTGATAATATAGATGTTGAGGTGTATGAAGTCTTCATTTATCGAAAGGAATAGCTACAAGATATTCAATCTCTAGAAACGGTATTACACATAAATTACAATGAACAAATTGCTCATTAGTTTTTGAAGGACTTACAAAAAGCTCATGTGTTTCTTTGTGAAGACCACTACAAGCTTTATTTGTAAGAAAAAAGATCCTTCTACCGTCATACAAATATAATAATGGACCTAATAATTTGAGCCAACCAATTATATTTTGCACTTTCCAACGCTCCTTCGTATGATACCAATGAAGTGATAACGATTTCCTTTCGGTGCATTTATACTACTACTAATCTCTTATAGCTTGCGATGAGGTCAAGGATCAAGCACACGCAAGATCAGTTTTGCAAACTGCAACAGTAAGAAAATTATAATTGAATAAATAGGATATATATACATATGGAAACCGGTTATTATTAACTAAACTTTACTTTGTTTTAGAGTGTTACATTATATAAGACAACTTAGAGAGAAAAAACACAACAACATTCAAAGTTTATAACAACTCAATATTTTTTATTTGGCTGAATATTTAGGTTGCCGTTTTTTTTCACAGAAATGGGCAGCTACGCTCGTTTAAATCATTTTAAAAGTGCGGTTAATATCGTTAATGCTTTTTATATAATCTTTAGTAGAAATGAATATACGAGTAATGTTTTTGTTGGTAGCAAAATAGATTTTTAACTGTTTATATTCCTTAGACCAGCTCCTTGTTGGATAATTCCAAACTTGTGGAAACTTAACATATTATTGGATGTTTAATATGTTAAGGATAAACACAATAAGGAAATCTAGAAATAGGAAAAAGAAGTTTTCTATTGGATTAGGTTTGTGTTTTCCATATCCCACATGTTAAAGGGAATTGTCTCAACTATAAATATAGGTCTTATGGAGAGGTGTTCCATATGATCTAAGAGAAACATATTGTGAGCTTTAGTTTTGAGTAGTTTCTAAAGCTAATAAGAAAAGTCGTTCTTATAATTCTTTGTGTTTCTAGAGATTTGAATTGGTATCAGAGCTTCTCAGGTTGGAGACTCGATCTAAGCTTAAGTTGAAGCTTCGATCCTGGTGCTTGTGACCAAGAGTACACGCGAGCAAGATGGCGGACGTGACTAGGGCTCCACGCACGAAGGACCTTGGAACTACATCCATCCAATGTCCTATGTTATCATCATCAAACTATACCG